AATCTTACATCTAAATATACAATTTTTGACTTATATTTTAAAAGTATCACTCTGGCTGGCATATGAGAATAGACTGTAAGGAGGAAAGGACTGAAAAAAGCAGAGAGAACAGAATACAATTACCGTAATCCAAGCATGCAATCATAGTGGATAATGACAAAAATCCAAGCAAGAGACGGCCGATATACTAATAACAGAAATAGTAGAAAACTGTTGAATTCTAAATATATTTCATAGAAAAAGCCAACAGGATTTGTTGGAATACAAGGAAAGTAAGGAGTCAAGGATGATTCCAAAGATTCAACTGAGCAACTGGCTGTATGAAGTTGCCATCAATTCAGAGGAGAAAGAATGGGACAGGATTGGGAGCAAAGGAGTTCGTTCTGGGACATCTGAGTTCAAGATATCTTTTTAATACACAAATGAAGATGCAGAGGTAGAAAAAGGGGACTTGGGACATGGAGAATAGAAAACCCTTTAAAGGATTTTCATTGCAGAGAAGAGCAAATAAATGGGGTTGAAAATGGAGAAAGGTTAAGAGAAGCATTTCTTAAGGTAAAAGAAATAATACATAGATTAAATAGAAGTGTCTTTTTTGGTGAAAATTCTTTTTAAAAAATGATACTGGGTTTATTTGAGGTTTACAACTTGATGTTACAGGATACATATGGATAGTAAAACGGTTACTTCAGTGAAGGAGATTAACACCTATCGTCTACGTTATATTTTTGTGTGTGACAAGAGCAGCTGAAAATCTACATTTAACAAAAATCCCTAACACAATAAAACTGTATTAACTTTGGTCCTCAAGTACATTTCACTCTGAATTGAAAAGCCATGTAGGAAGAGAATAAAAATGAGAGAGAAGAAGAAAAAGGACAAACACTGGAACACGAAAAACCCCTACCTGAGGTTAGGGAGGCTAGCTGAGGATCAGAGAAAAAAAGCAGAACAATTGTCTTTCAACGTATGTGAATAACAGTGAATGAAAAAAGGTAGGTAATGTAAATTAACCCTATCATTAACACTAGAAACAAAGTAAAATGAGAAAATGGGGAGAAAGTGGTCTGGTGATATAAATGCAGTATCAATTTAATACTAAAGCCTTTTATAGAAGTACTCTCCTTATCTAAGGGTGTACATCCCAAGGCCCCCCAGGGAGGCTGAACTAAACTGCCTTCAATCTGAGCATGTTTCTGTTCACATCTACCCAGAAATTTAATTTCTTTTTTATTTTAACTAAGCTTTCATCACATACTATGGGTGTAAATTTGGCAGTTTGAGGTGTGACAGCAAAACTAGCACACGTTTCTTTTTGCTTATTCACAATTTTACAGATAGATTTGTTCTTACCATAGATCTTAGCAACATCAGCATATGATATTTTTTTCTTCCTTATTAAGTGGAGAGCTTTCACTTTTTCACTTAAAAGAGGCACTTTACAGCTACTCTTTGGCGTAACCAAATTGCTAGCATCGTTACTATTGTGCTTTGAAGCAATAATTAAGTAAAATAAGTATTACTAGAACACACATGCACTATGATACCACCTCCATCAATCTGACAACCAAGCAACTAATAGGCAGGAAGTTTATATAGCAGGGATATGCTGAACAAAGAGAAAAGATGATTCATGGCCCCAGGCTGGATGGAGTGAGACGGAATGATATTTCATCACAACTCAGAAAGGCATGCCATTTAAAATTTATGAATTATTTCTGGAATATTTTTTCTTTTCTTTTTTCTTTTTTCTTTTTTGAAATGGAGACTTGCTCTGTTGCCCAGGTTGGAGTGCAGTGGTGTAATCTCAGCTCAATGCAGCCTCCACCTCCCTGGTTCAATTGATTCTCCTGCCTCAGCCTCCTGAGCAACTGGGACTACAGGCATGCACCACCACACCTGGCTAATTTTTGTATTTTTAGTAGAGACAGGGTTTCGTCATGTTGGCCAGGCTTGTCTTGAACTCCTGATCACAAGTGATCCACCCACCTCAGCCACCCAGAGTGCCGGAATTACAGGCAGGAGCCACCACATCTGGTTGGAATTTTCTGCTTAATATTTTTAGATTGTGGTTGATCACGGATAACTGAAACAGCAGAAATCAAAACCTCAGATAAGGAGGGACTACTGTATTTAGTGCCTAATATATGCAATTCAACCATTCCTCCATTATAATTCCTCCTCTCCAGGGACTTTTAATTTAGCAAAGAGAAAGCCATGCACAATAATAGCCAACACTTTCTGAGGGCTTATTGTATGCCAAACACTTGCCTAGATGATTTACTTGTAACAACTCATTTAATCCTCATAACACTGAGGACACCTGTGCACTGGCTCCACAGAAAAATACAAATATCCACTATTTTTACATACGATTCTAAAATACCCATGAAACCAAAGTTGGAAATATTTTTCCAGAAGCAGGAGAGATAATAATTTTTTTAACCGGCCAGATGTGGTGGCTTACACCTGTAATCCCAGCACTTCAGGAGGCTGAGGCGGGAGGATCACTTATGCCCAGGAGTTTGAGGCCAGCTTAGGCAAAAGAGTAAGCCCCTGTCTCTATAAAAACAAAATAAAATTAGTCAACTGTGGTAGAATATACCCATGGTCCCAGCTACTGAGGATACTGAGGGAGGGGGATAGATCGCTTCTGCCCAGGAGGTTGAGGCTGCAGTGAGCCATGATTGTGCCACTGCACTCCACCCTGGGCCACAGAGCAAGATCCTGTCTCAAACATAAAAATAAAAATAAATAATTTTTGAACAAAGGAATAACGTAGTCATTTTATTTCTAGTAAGGAAAGGATCCAAGATGGTTTTAAATTAGGATTTATTACAAAGCTTCCAGAAAGTCTTTTGAAATTGTGATATAATCTGAAAACCAAAATGTAGGTGATTTATGTGCTTAAAGGTGATGCAGCTAAACAATCACCTCCCAAAAAAATCTCAACACATCAGATTAACTTTGATGTTTTACATAAATACAATAAACATTATACATATTTGTTCGGCCTCATTTATTGGCACATGCGTTTCTCTGTGGACAACTAAAAAACTGGCAATATCATTCTTTACTATTTTGAAGCTTTCTGATGCTCTTCACAGGTAGCCTGAAGCACAGCTTCATACAGAAGTATTAGCCTTTAGTGTAACAAAGATCAAGACAATCTTCATATGAAACCAAGGGCAGTTGTCTACAGACACATTTACTACCCTAAAAGCCAAGCTCGATAAGTTGTATAACATAATTTCCAAAACAAAACCAGGTTTGTTTAATTTGAATGGCAAGAATTGAAAGGTACAATATAAAGGAACTACAAGACAGAATATTAAAAGACTTTTTTCTTCCTCAGGTAGAGAGTACTGTGTTTTTTTTTACTTTTCTTATTCCCCTCTCCCCCATCCTTATTAAATTCCTTAAAGGAATAGACCATCTTTGTTTTATGCTGCAATCTCGAGATCCCTGAATAAAGCAGGCACCCAGTAAATACTTGCTAATTTGTTTATTTGACCAACCTTTGACAAGTCAATATAACATACTCAAATATCAAGTTAGTTATAGTTTAAAACAAAACCTTACAGGGTGCAGTTGCTCACGCCTGTAATCCCAGCACTTTGGGAAGTTGAGGCGGGTGGATCACGAGGTCAAGAGATAGCGATCATCCTGGTCAAAATGGTGAAACCCCGTCTCTACTAAAAATACAAAAATTAGCTGGGTGTGGTGGCATACACCTGTAGTCCCAGCTAGTCGGGAGGCTGAGGCAGAATTGCTTGAACCTGGCAGGGAGAGGTTGCAGTGAGCCAGGATGGTGCCACTGCACGCCAGGCTGGCGACAGAGCGAGACTCTGTCTCAACAAATAAATAATCTTTGTGTGCCTGAGCGAACAATGTAAACACAAATAGCAGAATCCCAAATCTTCTAATCATTGTGTTGCCCTAATACAGAAGGGTCTCATAGGCCGTATACAGCTCATAAACCAACAACTCACGTGAGTTGCCTTCTGTCTCTCTATCCACCTTCAAAGTCAATAAATAAAAAATTGATGACATTCTGAAAAGAACCCTGTGCTGCCTGGGAAAAAATACACCACACATTAAGCGCCAAAAGGTTGCCATTAGGGGGCAGAGTGAAAAACTCTCACTTCTAATACTTTATTAGACTAACAAGAACTATGCAAACTCAAACACGTCAAAGCGCCTGTTTCTCCACCTATAAAATGCAGCAAGAAAAATGTGTGTATGTGTGTGTAACAGAACCTCACCTAATCCTCACCTAATGGAATAATTAAAATCAGAAAAAGCTAAATACTACTAGATTACACATTGGCTTGTCATCCGTCTTGCCAGTTGATCTCTTTAAAGTACCTAATCAATTGCTGCACTCCCTAAAGGGGAGTCATTCCCATTAGTTACCACAGAAAGTTCTTTCCTGACTCCAAAGAGCTGAGTGCGTTTCAGCCCCCGATGCCTGGAGGGAACCCACAGTTTATCAAAATCTGGGGATTGAGAGGACAGGCCAATGTCAAATAGCATACTGAACACTACCCTCTGGATTCAACTGTCCTCCCAATTCCACAACCAACACAGGGCATTTCAAAAGTGCTTCGCATTCCCAAGAATCCCCCAGATGTAAATGGAGAAACTGAAATTGAGGTGAACAGGTAGGTGCGCACACTGAGGATGATTTCGGGAACCCTAACATCCCCAAAAGCTCACAAGAGGAAGGCGCGGGCGCTCACAAATTGAGGGGGATTCTCTCACTGTGGAGTTCTAGGGGTAACTGGCATGGGATTTTTTTAAAAGAAAGAAAAAAGATAAAAAGAACAGAACATCAGATTTTTGTTAAAAAGGCAGCCCCACTTCCGGACCCTACCTCTCCGTGACTCCACTTCCGGTCTCTTCCGAAACGCCCGCTTTCTCAGATCAAGGTCTTGCAACCAATGAGAGCATCAGCTACTTCCGCCGTCCTGCGGGACGTGCTCTAGATCCCGCCTTTTCCGGTGGAGAGGAGCCTATCCTAGAGTCTTAATCGCGCGGCCTGGGAGGAGGTGCCATGACAAGCCCAACCGGAGGGCTGGAGAGGGCTAGAAGGGCAGACGGGGCGTGCAGCCTCTTCCGCCTGGAGCCCGGAAGGGTGATGTGGCTGCGGCACCGCCGGCCTCGCTATGGTAAGAAGTTGGGCTGCTGGGTCGCGGTTGAGCTTCAAGACTGGGTTGTGGATCTGGTCTAGGGCTAGAGGTTGTGCGGCAGCCCGGGGTGTGTGGGCCCGGGGCTGAGAGGCTGTGGAGGCACGCGGTCACTGCCCGACCAACCAGAGAGAATCTGGTTGGACTGTCCAAGGAAGACTCCTAGGTCGCGGAGCTCGCCCCTCAAGCAAGGGCAGCTTTCCTGCTTGTTAAGAAAAAATGCCTTGGTGTGTTTTAACTCTTTGGCTACGTAGATTTTCCGTGGTCATCGATCCTTAGAGGCATTAGAGCTTCTCGAGTTTCCGCTTGTTTTCTTGCATCTCCTTATCTCTCCCTAGGTGCTTGACTGTGGTGTTATTGTTTGATTTTGAGGGGGAGGTTCCTTTGGCACCCACCTCCGTATCTTCATTTTCATCTGTTCAGTCAGTAGTCTCTCAGGGCCCCTCCCACATCTTTCTCTCAACTTTGAAGGTGCTACTTTACAAGCTATAGGTTTAAGACTTCTCTGCAAAGGTAGATTGCTTTTCTAAGAGCTTAGTATACTTACTGGAGTGATGTCTAGCCTCAGGCCTTCCTCCTGTTTTACCTCCAAGTCCATGTGCCAAATGTTGTGTATATTTCTGGGCAAAAGATGTATACCTGCGAGTAGACTCAAAAACAACTGTGACTCCAAAAAGCTTGAGTCTCCGTGTGAAAAATGATGAGCCTATGTCCACAGAAGTTGCTGCAGAATCCCATATAGCAGTAAGTCAGCCTCTTCTCTGGACGAGTTTACCACCTGATAGAGAAAATAGCAGTTGAGACTAGGAAGACTGTCACTCTTAATTCTTTCACATCTTTCTAGAACATGAAGTTGAATAATTTTACTCGTAGTACAAGTCAAAGATAACTTTTTATCATCTCACTGTCATATCGACTAGCTAAAAACAAGATACATATATTGTGCTTAAGATCAGAAGTATATAAACTATCTTGTCATGATTTTTCCAAAAGTAGCAAATG